ATAATCGCATGAAAGTAATAAAAGTGATGGAGCAGATAGAAGAGGAGGAGACGAACATATGAGACGGGTATGCAGCACCATGTGCCAAGTTCCTGACTTCAATTTCAAACCCACGGGTCCGAAATAACTTTTTTTCATGGCCTTTGAGATGATCGCAAGATTTTGGCAATATCTGACCATCTTAAGCCTACACTTTTGGATGAGTCAAAAAACGGAGCAACTGTATCTATCTACTAGCAAACAAATGCATTTGCAATAAAATCATAAAAAATCAGGTTTACAGGGAGCCCGCTTTATCCACAGCAAAATACTGAAGAACCGAAAACGGCTGGTAATAAAATCTTAAACTGCACTGAAAATAAGCACAATATAGTCAAGCGGAAAAGGTGTGTAAGACAGCTCAGAGCTATTAAATTGCTCAGATGGGGCAAAATTACGTCAGAAAATCATACCCCGCGGTGCAGGCTTTCTTTAGAAACACGAATGGATTGTTTCGCAGCATTGTTCAAGCTTTCACATTCACTCAATTCGTAATGTGACTGAAAATAAAGCAAATTAAATACAAAGACAACAGCAGTGCCCACGCTTCCCAATATGATTGTGGGGATCTTTTACTGATCGGAATCAAACGCCTCTGAGAAACTACAAACTTTACACACTTCCCACTAAAAATAATTGACCAGCGCACGCGCTGCCCGTGCGAAGATGCGTTTTTTGCATAGTTCCCCGCAGTTTTTGTTGCTACCGGCACCGGCTTTTTTGGCAAAAGCTTCTAGCTAAACAAATTAAGACTGGCCGCCAGAACTATCAGAAAACACCCCTTTAAAATTTCAGCTTTCTAGCTTCTCTGGCTCCTGAGTTAACAGCTTACTAGAAAAAAACTTTCACAGGCCAGTGCGTCTTTACCACACAAACCCGAGAGCTGGGTTTGAGCTGAATGAAACTTAGATGGACGGAGTATATCCTCTTAAAATATCCTCCCGGGAAAAATTTTGGCGGGCCCGTACGCAGGTTCCACGCTTACCCGGGGGCTGGGTTTGAGTTCACTAATATCCACTTGGACAGGGAACATCCCTCTAAGACTTCAACTTTCTAGCTTCTCAGATCCCCGAGTTATGAACTAACCGAAAAGAACTTTGGCGGGCTCGCATGCGGGCAATGGCGACCATTTTGGGGATTGGAGCTCGTATATGCATGTAGATTAAGTTCCCAAAGTTTCAGCCCTCTAGCTTCTGTATGTTTTGAGATGAAAAACCGTGACACGCACACACACAGACAACCCCTCGTCAAAATGCGTTTTCTGCATTGCATAGGTGCAAAAAACGCATAATAAGGGGCTATGACGAAACTGCTAACCA